GTATCGTAAGTCCAAGTTGTCAATCTTCTCCATCTTCGATTTTTGGGACATTTTCAACTTACAAATTTGAAATCCAAGCTTTCAATCTTTACTTGTCTTTGAATCTGGGAAGAAAGGTAAACATACAGGAAGAATTGAAGGCTGGAAAGCTTTGAATTTCAAAGCTGAAAAAAAAAAGCTGTGAAAAAAAAAACTGTGGAAAAAAAAAATTGCATACCTTTCTGTGATATTTTTGCTCTCAGGTGCTCGAATTTAGGGGGAAGAAGAACAAATGAGATGCTTGCTATTTAAAGAGGCTTACTAAGGGTAAAAATGTCTTTTAGACACAATAACGGTCAAAAACTCTAGGTACACTTGCTCATTCAGCGCGTTTCATACACACGCGTTAACTCAAACGGTCGGGGGGAATTCGCGCAAATGGAATTAAAACCTAAGGGAGTATGGTGCAGTTTTGAAAACATAAAACGCGCACATTTATGAAAACACAGGAGGGTTTGGTGCAGTTATCCCAGAAACCACCTGCTGTTTTTCACATTTGTAATGGGCTTTAATGTGCAACATAGAATTTGTGATACAGTACAATGATTGATGATCATGGTTCTGAAAATCGAACCGGTGTAGCTACTGATTCAATGGTTCACTAGTCGGATCAATAGTCGAACCGGTTTAATTAATATATAATCTTTTATTAATTTTATTTGTATATTACATAACTATATATATTTATCATTAATTATAATAATTTTACAGTGTATGACATTTCTCTAAATAATAACTAATAATAGATACAACCGACAATGTTGATTAATGTTTATAACTTTTTTTATGTTTATTTTTTATATTTAAAATTTCAATCTATATTTAAGTTACAAAATAGAGATAATAGGAACAATCCTATTTTCATTTTAATTACATTTTAATTTTTTAGGAAAATTACACTTAACTCACCTAACTTTAGGGTTTTTTGCACTTACCCACTCAACTTTTTTTCTTGACACTTTGTCCATGTAACATTGCAAAAAATTGCACGTAACCGATTCCGGTCATCGTGGGAAATATCTAAGGGCAAATTTGACTTTTCAGTCATTCATTAAGTTAATCGTCATTGAAAAATTTACATTGTGCCCACACACCTATATGTTTCTTTGCACTTTTGCCACTTAACTTTTTTTTTTATTTACACTTTGCCCTTAGAAATGACCGGAAGATGACCCAAAATTAGTTAAATGCAATTATTTAGAATGTTATATGAGTTAAGTGTCACGAAAAAAAATTGAGTGAGTAAAATGCAAAAAACGGTATAATTAAGTGTGTTAAGTGTAGTTTTTCCTAAATTTTTTATTATTGATTAAAAAATTTACAGAAAAAATGATGTACATAACAAATAACAATAATTTGCTTATTTCCTTTTTAATGAATTGAGAATATAGCCCAATAGATATTTCACTTTAAAAAATAGTACATTATGTTTAATGAGTACAATATTTCTTATAAGACCCAATATTAGCCCAATAATTTTAGCAAGGGAACATATCTCACATTGAAAACACAAGTAAAAAAAAATGTGCTACTTAAATCACTTCACAATCAACCAATTTCAAATTCAAAAACTTAAACCGTTGAACCATTCCGAACCGGTCCCAGTTCACCGGTTCGAACAGTTATTGACCGATTTAAATGTTGAGCGCTTTGATGGAGCAACCCGGACCAAAATGTAGGCCGGTTCCCGGTCCAACCGGTTGAACCGGCCGGTCCGGTCCGGTTATCAGAACCATGTTGATGATATAAAATGTTGATCATTATTAAATTTTCTGGTTAGAAAACGAAACAGAAGAAAGAGAAACAAACTAAAATAAGAAAGTCTACATCTTAGAACATCTATTTGTGTATTACTGATGGTCTCTTAGAATATAGTAATACCAAAAGCATTCAAACATCTTCTATAGTTATTTGGTGATGCCACCACAAATACTTAAATTTTCTTCTGTAATCTAGTGAGAGCCACTATCTGTGGTATAGTATCCAAGACCAACTGAACCAAGTAAATCGCACCAAGTGACAAAACTATGCAATAAACTCGACCAAGCAATGCCAAATGAACAATCCGTGCGTGACAAATTTTACCCGAATGAACTCCACAAAACCGAACAAGTAAATCAAGCTACCATTTCCAGCCAATAGCCACAATGGTTCAACATAATAGTAGGTTCATATTCTGCATTTCTTGAAGTAAAGGTTTCTCAGTGCAAAGGAGAAGAATAACTACTAAAACAACTCTCGATCTCACTTCAACACCATGAATAATATCGTCAACCTTCAAACTCCAAGTTTCAAGTCCTCAGAAGATCAAACAGAATAACTTATACCCACAAGTTCTTAGAGAGTAATGAGAATGAACGATGAAGGACAAGACCAAACACCATTCCTAAACTACCCGACCAAATTTATTACTTTACATCATGCCGACACATTACCTTCCACATACTAAAATCATCGAGAAGGTTAGTGCAAAATTACCGAGTTCAAAGACACATTAGCGTGGACATGAACAAGATACAAACTCACCAACAATGTTTATATCATTTTTCCACCAATATCCCAACACTACCTCTGGTTATATATGCATGTCGTCTAATCACCGCCAAAATTTGGATCTAAACAACAAAGATGGGAGAAAGAAGCCATTCTAATAACCGCATGATCGACTTCCAAATAACCTGCAAGATTCAATAAATTAGCATGTACAGGGGAAGATAATCTTTGTGTTACTAATCAAAGGATACACTTATGAATAAATAAATAAATAAAAAAGGAACACCCCTACTGTTCATTCATTTTGAATTTTCCAACTCCACACTCATATTCTTGTTATCTAATAAAGATCTCTATATTTCATATGTTCCAAGGAGTAGAAGAGCCCTTCACATACACAACTAGGAGAATAATAAACCTAATCAAATCCCTTAACTGTAAATAGAAGAATATATTGTTTCCAAAAAGAACTAATCTATATCTGCACAATATACATCAACACTCTCCCTCAAGTTGGAGCTACAGCAGTCACAACAGGACAGCAGGACAGGGCAACCATCCTAGCAAGCCTACGAAATGTAGCCCAAACCGCCCCAGCCACGGGCTTGGCGGGCCAGGCCCGCCAATTTCTTTTTTTCAAAACATGTTTATTTATAATTATGTGCTGTGAAGGGCGGTCCGAATTGCCACTTCAAGAAAATTGCTACAAATAACCTGCGGCAATGTACCCATCCGAAATGGCGAAGGGCCGGATCGACTGAGAGTTTTTTATTTTTTTTCCTCTTTTATTTTGCGGGAGGAGGGGGGGCACTGAGTGCCAGACGGCGGCACAAGGCGAGGGCGGATGATGCAGCCCGGCCGAGGCACGTCTGAAATGGCAAAGGGCCGGCGCCACATAGGGTGGGGGTGGAGGTGGGGTTGGGGGGCGGCTGCTCATTGCGAAGGCGGAGGGCCGGAGGAGATTTTTTGTTGGGTGGAGGACGGTTTGATGGGTTCAATCTCAGTAAGCCGGGCATATCCCTGGCTCATATGGTAACCGTCTCAGAAGAGGAAGATGAAGCACCATGAGCGAAACGGCCTGTGTAATTTTTCTCCATCAGCTTCAGACAAGTGTGCTTAGTATGCCCATGTTCATAACAATAAAAAAGCATTATCCACTATCATTGTCCGAATTCTCCACGAGACCCGCCACCTCGAGAACCTCCATGAAAATTACCTCCACGAGAACTGGCAGGAGTAGCTAGTAGTGGTGCCTTAATACTCCATGCAAACAAAGTGTGCATATATTTCTCGTAAAGAAGGTATGATAGATTCAGACATAAGTTGAGGTTTGAATGTATTGAATTGAGGATGTAGCCCGATCAATAAGCTACGGAAACAATCTGTTCCCGTTGTCGTTGCATCTCTTTGACATCTGCATTGAGATAGGAGGGAATTGAGTTCTTCATATACTCTGTTAAACTCCATAATGTATGCTATCAGAGATTTATCCTTCTTCCACCCTATCACTTACAAACCGAGTAAATGTGGGAGATGTTACTATGACCAGAGTACAAGAAAGTCAAGTAAGACATTAATTCCTTGACAAATTCACACCGATGGACTAGTGAGAGGATTCAAGCTCAATAGAATTTCGAATCTGGACCAATAGCTTTGCATCATCCCGGAGCCAGGCCGTTTGGTATCATCCGTGGGAGGATCCAAATCAAGATGGTTGTCCTTATCAATGCTTCACAAATGGACCGTAACAGTTTTATTCCGACCAAGAAAATTGGTGCCATTAAGCTTAACATCAGTAATTTTGTTCAAAATATGAACAATTTTGGAGGCAACTTTAGTCTCCGCCATAAAATATATGAGCCCAAAAATGACGGAAGACGAATGACAACAAACACCAAAGCAAAGTAAATACCGAAATACCAAAACAGAATACCAAAATGGATGAAACCAAAGCCAATACCAAAAACTGAATTGTCCAGCCCATGAAACACAAAACAGAGAGAAGAACAGCAAACAGCCCACAAAATTCAGAGCAACCCGACATCGACTGGAAAAAGTTCCGGCAACGCATGAGCCAGCGGGTGAAAATCGCTGCAGAAGTTATGGCAGCACATGTGAGCCACACGCTTGGAAGGGGAGGCTGAAACTTCGCTGGAAAGGTCGATCTCCGGCCAGCGAGACGAGCTGGGTGGGAGGTAAGTCTTGAAAAGCCCACGAAACAAAACCCTAGGTAAACCGGAAGTGGGGCTATTTCGTTAAAAAAAATGAAACCCTAGACTACAAATAATCTTTGGCTCTCGATACCATGTTATCTACTGAAGATCCTTAGAGCATCCACAATGCATTGGTTCAATTTTACATATGTGGCATATAAATAGACTTAAGTCCTTAATGACATGGACAAACCCAAGTAAAAAAAATTCAAAAGTCATCCAGTGCAAAAACAAAATATTAGGTCTAGAGTATTTGTCAACCAATAAAAATGCTCTAAAATATTTTCTATATTAAGAGAAAAATTAAATTAGGAATAAATGTTAATTGCTTAGGTTTGTACTTTGGTCCAAAATAGACCCAAGTGTAGACTTGGTCTCATTTTTTAATTGTCACATAAGTTAGACCTAGTCTACTTTTAATTGCATTGGAAAATATTTTTTAATAGACTAAGTCTTTTTCATACATGGCATATGATATTTTTGTAAGAGACCCAAAGCATTGTGGGTGCTCTTATGCTTCATATGTTTCAAGGAGTTTAAGACCCATATATACACAACTAAGAGAATAATAAACCTAATCAAATCCTGTAATTGCCTTAATTGTAGATAGAATATATTATTTCCTAAAAGGACTAGTCTATATCTACACAATATTCACTAACAATTCTTAACAAATATCAAGGGGAGCTTCTATAGTTGCCACTACGCATATATATAAATAATTCGAAGCACAAATTTAACATCTTACCGGGGCAATGCACGTGGTTGGCCTCCGCATATAGTAGTCGATCACATGTCTCGAGCCGTATTATTGTAGTCCACCGAATCAAGAAACTAATATTATTGGAGTTCATGGATCAAGATATAATCATAATACTCAATTGTTTCCGTGAAGTCCATATATATGCTATGCTCTTCACGGTCAGGTAACCATACATAAGTGAAAAAATATTGCTCATCAACTAAAAAAAAAGGCAATCATTATTTAAGATTCATGGCTGCAGCCATACTCCTCAACCTCTGAGCGATTTCCGAGAAAGAGGGCCTTTGGGCTGGGTCGGAGGCCCAAGAGCTTTCCATCAACGACTTCCACTCCGGATCACACCATGTCGGGATTTGTGGGCGTAATGTGTTGTTCACAATCCCGCCTACAATAGTAACCTCATTTTGTCAATGAGAGTCAAACCCTAATTTTAAAAGGCTTTTACCTTTTTTAACTACCTGGATGATCAGCAAAACAGAAGAAAATACTTTATCTATAATCACTCCACTGTTAAAAGATGTCATTTCATTTGTTCCGAGCAATACGCAACTAAAACCATATGTGATGTTTCTCTTGGAGAACTCCACGCCTTCTTGCGCTACTTAAATTTTCAGCTTGTAAAAAATAAGGGTAAATAAATAAATAAACTCTCCAGACAAGAAATCTTTCATATTCTCCATTACAGAGAGGCCCCCTTCAGTGGTAGCTGTATGTTATGCAAACTTTATGGGGATCTTCATTTTTACAAAAAAATGAAAAATTGTTATGATTATCCCAAACCTTCAGGGTACCTGTCGTAACTAACCCTTATATTGCCAGTTTAAGATCAGCTAACGAGAAAGAAAGCAAATCAATGGACTTTTGATTTCAAAGTTTGACACGACAAGATTTGACATAATCTAGAATCCACATGTACCAGATTCCCCATAAATAAAAATGTGAGGCCTTCCTTACCTTTCGCAGAAAATATCATCCTATCTACAATCAGCTTGTGGTGCACGAAGGTTGAAGCCAATAATAATCATGATAGGTCTTCCAAAACAAATAATCAACATACTTAATAATAAAAATACATACCAATTATAGAAGCACAGTGCATATCCGTATAGGGCTCATCACCAGTAAGCAACTCCCACATGCATATCCCGAATGAGTAAACATCAATCTGCGAAGCACATAATTGAACTTCCATTTGAGAGAGAGAGAGAGAGAGAGAGAGAGAGAGAGAGAGAGAGATGGAGGATATTACCTTTTCTGTGACCATGTTACTCTTGCCACTGAGAAGTTCAGGGGCCATCCAGGGTAACGTCCCTCGAACACCTCCAGACACTAAAGTATGTTGTTTTACCTTGGACAATCCTAAATCACCAATCTATAAAATATTCAATCAGACGAAAAAGATCAGCATCCCATAATGACCATCCATACAGAAACAAAACATGCGCCACCCAGAAGAAAATCACAAAGATAAAACAATGTTATAAGAATGGTCACAACCACTTCAGCATTTAGACAAAGTGATTCAGTGGTGATATAGAAACTAAAAGTCGTCAAGCATCCGATTTAGAATTAGATTAAAAAAAGAAGCCACAGGCTGAAAATACCATTTAAAAGCAATTAAAACTAAAAGCGAAAAAACAAAACACTCATCTTTATTACATAATATGGTAATTACACCAAGAAGATGCATTATTTGGTCACAATGAACCTTTGAAGATATGTCAAGACTAAACTTCCAATATTGAAGAAAGAACACAAGATACTTATTCAAAATCAGAAGTACCACACTTAGCTGATCACAAACATGTTTATATTATATCAGTGTTTGCAAACTCTCCTATGGAAAAGCTTATTGAAGAAAAGAGTTCCACAAAGCACATGCAAGAAGTTTTGGACAATGAAACTACAATTTCTCGGTCCTCCAGTCTGACCTACCTTGCACACAGGTCGGTGTGGGTCCCTCATATTTACCAGAAGATTTTCGCATTTCAGGTCAAAATGAACAATATTTTTCCCGTGCAAATACTCCATACCAAATGCAGCATCCATGGCAATAATGAGTCTCTTACGTCTATCGATAGTTCTGCTCGGATAATAATAAATTAATAAATAAAAATCACATTTCAAACAAAAACAACATGCGGGCCAACAACACTTAAGAATACCTATCCTTCTTTTGCAGAAATTGTTTCAAAGACCCATTAATCATGAATTCTGTTACTGTGGCTAGAGATCCATCAGGGCCGTCTCGAACAACTCCATAAAAAGAGACAACATTTGGATGGTGCAAGGAACTTAGTATCAGAGCTTCCTTCCAGAAATCAGCAATCTATAAGAAAGTTAAATAACTTACAATGTAACTACAGACATCTAAATATTGCAATCAAAATCATATTAAGTTTTCTTCAAACAGAAATGGTAGATGAATTTTACATGTTTTCTCATCAGAAAAATAAGATAACAATAACATGTCTATCAGTCAGCTTAGGGAAACCAGAGATCAAACTTTCCAAAGTGAAGCAAACCTGAGTACTAAGTTTAAAATTATATTAGTTGTTACATACTATAAATGTGTTACTTATCCAAATTAGTCAAGTGCCCTTTGTACTTCTCTGAACCGAAACTTTCTTCAGGGTCTGTACATTATATCATGTAATTCATAATTTTCTAGAATAACTTTAAATTAGTAATATAAAAATGTATTGCATACCACCTTAAGGCGTGCTATCCAAGAAAAGCAAAAAAATTATGTAAAATACCAGACGTTCCCTTTCAGACGGCCTTCCAGCAAAGCAGCTGGCTTTTATTCTTTTTATTGCTACATCGGATCCCTTCCACTTTCCATGGTAGACTGCACCATATGTCCCAGAACCCAGCTCCCGAATCTCCTCCAGATCTTCGTTCTTGATAGTCTTAAGGAAAAGGATTATATAGATGATAAATGGCATGACAAGAGAGCACTTATATCTTGAAAGTGATTATATCTCAAATGGCATGTATCATCATGTGTACATGTATAACTCATCATCCATAGAAGGTGTAAACCAACAAATATAGAAAGAACCTGCAAGCCTCTATCAAGAGCTTCTTCCTCAGCTTTCGTCAGCTCTATCTTGGAACTATCAACATTATCACTATCATCTTCTACCTCCAGGTCCACATTGCCATCCTATAAAACAACACAATGTCATTTAAGAATGAGTAAAATATCAAATGCATACATTAGCACACTCGAAATCTTACCACTCCATTCTTGTGATTTTGAAAATCTTCTTTTCCTGCAAAACCACGCTCACTCGCCAAACTGGAGTCGTCTTCTTGAGCTTTTGCTTTCACCTCCTTCAAACTCTGCAAAGTAGCCTCTTTCATAGAAGCAATTAACTCAGGTAAAAAATCCAGCTGATCATCAGGCTGCTCCTTAAGAACATTAGCATTATTACACTCATTTTCAGCACCATCATTTTTTATGAAAGCACATTTTTGAACTTCATGAACACCAGTTTCTTTACTCTCTGCTCCATTATTTTTCTCTTTGGTCCATTCATACTCACGGCTCCCATTTACCTTAACCGACTTATTAGTTTGGTTTTGATTTTGGTAATCTACGCCAGACGCAAGAAAAGATACTGGTTGGACGTTTTCCATAGTCTGACTACTGGGAGTAATTTTGACAGCCTGGATGTGAGAATGGTCCGGCATGAGAGAAACATTAAAGGCCGTGACTTTCTGTGACGACTCAGTCCACAGGTTCTGATTCTCTACACCGGCCCTCACCCTGGGACTGCTCTCCACCGTCCCCCGGACGTATCCCATGGGAAGACTCAACGAACCATTAACCATCTGAGAAGAAACCGCAGTCTCATAAGACGGCCCCCCCACCTGGATTGGGCTGTGAACATTCCACCAGGGGGACTGGGCCGGCATGAGGCCGCCAGTAGGTCCCACATATGAATTTTCAGTACCGTACACATATGCAGCTGGATTTCCATAGCGGACCCCACGTTCGTCCACTGATGGCAGGTGAGGAACTTGTGCTTGATCTTGAAACACCTGACCACCATAGTCGATGCCCGAACGAGCATAACGTGGGTCCTCGTGATGGATATGCCCAAGTGGAACACTCGGCCCATTTTCCGTAACATAACCATGTCTCGACTCCTCGGCCCCAGGATTTGGCTGGTGCACGGGAACCCACCCCCTCTCGTGACTGTGGGTCTCAGAATAAACCGGTCGAGGATCATTCAGGTCTCTACAGTAATAGGGAGGGTTCACATTTCCATCTGGATTCAAGACATAAACTTCCCGCCCCAGGACACAGTCCGTGCAAGAACTCGGGATCTGAATGTTCCCGTTGCCCACGGATGGCGACTCCAAATGTGGCGACTCACAGGGTGGCCTCCACATCGACATGTCTGGATAAACTACCTGCTGATTCCTCTGAAATGTCATCCTGCAACTATCGCATATGCTACTCCCTTCATACGCGCTCGAGCCTACCTGGTGGAGCAAGTTTCCAGGAAAGCCTCCCACCTTGTCACCAGTTGGGACCAAAACCACCCCATAATCCTCAGGCGGAAACCGGTCGTACGGTGCTCGGAAACGGGCTGATGAGGGAGAGGTCGGAAACTCGGGTTGGCGGGGGGAGTAGTACGCTGGGCTCCATGGAGCCTCCATCTCACAAAACCGCTGGCTGCCGACTGGCTGCTGAGTCTGGATCTGGCCCGAGCCCAGGTGAGGAATTGTGAGGTGTCGCAGGTTCATCTGAGCCATCGGCAGCTCCATGTTCCTATGCCCAAGGGTCCCACCGCCACCCTCGAGACCCATCTGGCTGAAATACTGCTCAGCTGTATGCATGTCATCAAACGAACCCAACTCACCGGGATGCTTTCTAAAATCCGCCAATTCATTGAGGCTATTCAACGCATCCACGTACCTCCTCTCATTGTCCCTCTCGTCACCCTCCACAAAATACAACGGGTCCATATCCTGTTCCGGGTGTGAAAACAGAAACAATCTGAGCCTCGTGAAGCCATCGGCCGAGCCCAGCTTGTCGTACTCCTCCATCATGTTGATGACATCATCGTCGTTCACGACGGAGACGAGGGCGTCGAGGTCCTCATCCGGCTGCTGGTACTTCAAGACAGCCACATTTTCAAAAAGCTCCTTCATTTTGGACATCAGGTTATCGTAGGTTATATTGTGTGGGAGGCTGACAATGCGGGTCTCCCCGCCAACATATCTGAGCTTGCCGTCCTGTGGGCGGGGCAGAATGCTGCCGGAAAAGCTGCACAGGAATTTGAGCCGCTGGCCCTCGTCATTCGAGCCAGGGGCCGGTGTGGTGCCGTCCATTTATTGGTGATTGGTGATACGTGAATGCAGCTTCACGCAACCAAATTTCCCATTTGCTTCTTTCTTCTTTCCTTGGACAATTCCAAATATTAGAGCTTTTTCCGATACTTAGAAGATATGTTAACAAAGGACCGGAGAAATTTAAGAGGAGGAGCTGAATCTAAAGCACCAAAATCAATGTTTTCGAGCGAAGAATAAAGCTTGCGAGCAAAATGATTGGTTCGAATCAAAACGCGTATAAAATAAAATTGGTAACAACTGGTGAATAATAAAATGAATTTACCTGGAAATAGGGCTTCCGGCAACAGCAGACCCCAGAATATTTTACTTTTTTTTTTTTTTTTTCTCTTCAACAGCCAGAAATTCAAGAAAACCCTAAAAAGGTCCCTCAAGCTTTACAGATCTATAACAACCCTTCACAATCACAAGCTGGCAAGAAAAGATGTTAAAAGGAGAAACCTGAAAAAATGATCAAAAATTTGTGCATTTCATCTTGTACATTTATGTAAAAATATATATAGTAATCTAGTGATTAGTTTTCAGATGTCGGGTGTTTCACATAAAAGGCAATTGCGGAAGAGGGAAATGCCATGGCCGAGAGGAGAGCGTTTGGTGTATGGAGAGGAGGTGTAGTTTAGCAGGTAAAGAGACACGTGGCGCCTCCATAGTTTTCTTCACAACATGCTTCAATTTATCGGTGAAATTACAATTTTACAAGACCTATAGAGCATGTTTGTTTATGAAAAATTTTGGGTTTGTTTGCATTTTTTTGTTTGGTTTGGTTAATTTTGAAAAAGTGGTATTGTTAGTTGTTAGTGTGTATATTGAAATAATATTTAATATAAAATAATTAAAATTGATTTGATATAAAAGTAGGAAAGAGATGATTGAAGTGATAGTTAGTTAAAATAATGTGAGTGGATTAATAGTAATTAAGGTTGATGTGGTGTGTATGAATGATTGATTGATATTAAAAAATTATATTGATAATATTGATGATAGTGAGGTTGAGTTAAAGTTGAGTTAAAAAAAGTAGTTGAGTTAAAATGTTGGAATTTTTTTGAAAATTCTTGTAAACAAACATGCTCATAACGTCTTAGATTTTCTTTTTCCAACTATAAAAGGATATATAGTCATATGGCACATAGAAATAATTGGGTAAACCCGCAGCTGGTTTTTTTAGCTCTACGGGTAGCTCGGCCCAAAGGAGCTCGGGTTTTTAGCTCTACGAGTAGCTCGGCCCAAAGGAGTTCGGCATTTTAGCTTTATGGGTAGCTCTGCCCAAAGGAGCTCGACAGAATCATCTGTCGCTCCTCATGGATAATCTTCTCAACCGCCTCAAGTTCCCAGCAGCTCAGTCACATGCATTTTCCGAAGAATCGGGTTGTAACTGTAGCAGAACTGATTGAGGTCTTTTAGAATGACAGATAAGAGATTGAATGACATAATGAATATAGCCTGAGAAACATGAAAGAAATTTTACAGATTAAACACATTTGAATTTAACTGTTAATATTGACATTCTCAAAACAATATTAACTTAAATCCACGACATCTCTACACATCGTGAGTAAGTATGCTACAGACGCCCTACTACTCAACATTCGCAAGAGAAGGGCTTTTGTAAGGCCCATTAATTTATAAGTCAAAACCAAATTCATGATGAACGAAATTAATAGTGGATCTCCATTGGCCATGCAATAAATTTAGGGACCCCCCGTGGGGAGTTTATAAATAAATCGCATTCTAAGTAAATCTCATTTCTCGGTCCTAAGGTCGTCAAAATTGATTATACGTCCCACGTGGGGAGGCTCGTACGCTAAATAGGGATATTTCTATGTCAAAGAAGTGTACTCTATGCTTCTTAAATCAAAGTTAGTAATGTGACTGCTATTGAACATAGTGTAACTGTTGGAGGGAACACCAGAACTAGGAAAAGATGATAGAAGTTGCAGGTTTTGAGCAAAGTTAAAAATTTCATTTGGAGGTGCTTTAATAACATACTACATGTACAAGGAATCTTGAGGAGAAGTGTAACACCCCGAGTTTTATTAATAAAGAAAAATACTATCGTTTAATTTTAAGCTAGCCTTTGTTAATAAATAATCATGTTCATGTTCAAGTTCAAGTGATTCAGCCAGCTATGTTCCAAGTTCGACTATTAGTCGATGTGTTATTTGATTTGATAACCGAATGAGTTTTCAGATTTAATTCCGATTCATTTAATTAGTTAATGAGTTCGGAATTAATAAGCCAAGTTGACGAACTATTCGAAATATTAATGTTCGGATTAATCGTCTAAGTCAAGATAATATCCGAATTAAGTTCCGAGGTCAAGTTGTAACCGAAAACCAGTACGTTCGGTTAAGGTTACCATATATGAACGTCGTCATTCCTATACAGCGACGCGTTCACACTTGGTACACCGTCCATCATTAATTAGGTAATGGTCATTAAACATTGCTTAATTAACTTAATCTACGTTTAACTAATTAATCATAATTAGCTTAAAATAATCATGCTTAGCTTAATGTTAATGATGATTAATTAACATTAATGAGGATTAGTTTAAAGTTAATCATGTTTAAGAATAAACATGTTTAGCTTAGCATTAGGTATGCTTTACACGGCCGTTAGTGCGCATAGGCACGTCCTTAGCACGTCTTAGTGCGAATAGGCACGTCCTTAGCACGTCTAAGTCGTGCTTAACCGAACTAATAGCCGAGAGATCAAAACTCCCCAATTGTCAAGTACATCCTCATCCGTTCACGACACATGGAGGGCTGGTGGTTACTCGGACTTTGACTAAGCAACAGATTGGATGAATAAGCACTCCGAGTGCCACTCTCGCCCGTTAGACGTACGACAAATGGCTTCACACCATTTGGC